TGTAATAAACGCAACGAATTTAACGATAGTTATTGACATGGCCGAGGATTCAGAATGGCTTTCTCGTGTATAAAATGTGTTGTTTGTATTAGATTACCACTTATGCGAAAGCTGACTGTAACTACAAATCACACTATTGTGCTATGATTAACTAGACCCTGTCCACTGTAATAATCTATTTTGAAATTGCAGCGTACAACAGCTTGTGGTGTAATATATATATAAGCCCGGGATTTGACATGACTCGTCATGAAAGAAAAACAAAAAAATATTGTCATATGATTTGTTTGCAATGCAATAATTTCGGATCTGAATAACAAGGTGATCATATTAAAAAGGTACGCCCTCACCGACAGAAATATTTAAACTTTAACAAACAACCCGGGAGTGAATAGAAAACGTGAATATAAACGAAAGCAAATGTGTGGCAGTCGTTGGGGAGTTGAAGTATAGTTTTCACCCCTCCACTGTGTCAGCAAATCTCACACGTATTCGGCGTCACTATTTTTTCTTATATTACAGCATAGTAGTACAGCAAAGATCATTCCAAGTACCTGCAAAAAGATGAGAAAGTATATAAATGGTGAATGACACGACACATACCTTGTCCAAAAACCAGCATTGGGTGCACGTATTTGTACGCACAGCCGTTAAAGGGCGGTAGTCGTCGCGCCACGCGTGCGCGAGATACATGGGTCTCATATTAACAAAAATGGCGACTTTGACTGTTGCGCAAATCACAGTCCCTCTATCACTGTGCGTAGATCTACGAGTACAAACTTAGACGTTACCAAGCTTCTTCCATTACGTATTTTCACGTGATTGGAAGGTATCGAAGGAGTCACTGGTGGTAATTAGTTCAAATCGCGCCCCGGTCAAATCTCATACTTCAACCATTAGAAGAGCGCATTGGATTGTAAGGAGATAATGTTTATCAACACAACAACTGCCCTTTAAATGATACAGATTCGGTCACCGGAAGCGGATTATTTGTGCCTAAAGGAAGACCTAAAACACAGCATTCTGATGCAAGATGTAGGTTACGATTCATAGTTTTATGTCACAAGACATTTTTGCGTCATCATGATATGCTAGTACTTGCAGTGGTATGTGTTCGCATGCTTACATATAATTTTTCTGTTATTCTTTTAAAATTGGACAAATTAATTCCACAGAATCCTGTCTAACATTAGTCCAATAAGTTCACCCTACCTGTACAAGTCCAATAGCAATACCAACTCCACCAATAATGTATAGATTACGTTCAAAGAATGAATAGAGGGCAGATGTACAACCCTGGAAAATAGAATTATATTATTTATATCAGGTGTACTATAAATCCACACCTTGTCGTAATATGCAAATATACATCAGCTACCGTACTACGAAGCAGCCAATCAGAGTCGTCAAACTCACCAAGAAAGTCATTATTTGCCTACACATATTATTGCCCACATAATATTACAAACGTGTTTTATACAAGCAAGCTGAAGATGCTGACAACAATTAGCATATTGTCTTAAAAGCAAAGCATGTCAATATCCCTTAACAAACAATCCAAGTCATTCATTGCCATGTCAGCTAGCTACGCACACGGAGCTCCATGCTGCAAACAACACCAATAATAACTTACTGAACCAAACAACATTCAATAAGGGGGAGGGGTGTACGTTACATAATCACAATCTAGTGTTCATAATAGAGAAAATATCTAAATGTGCAATGATCGAAGGTTTAGTAGTGAATGACTGTGTCCATGGTGTTATCATGCTGGACATTGATTTTAATCTTACCAAGCTGTAGATGTTGTCATCTGTGACCACGCCCTCACAGTCAAATTCACAGTAGCAAGATTCAGGGACATCTTGATTGGATGTGAGCCAATCACGGTAATTGTACGCACCGCAACATTGCAACTGAAATTAAATAATTAAACAAAACATTAATAAATGCACAAATGTATTTCTCAAGTGTGTCCCATTTTAAACTGAGAGATATATGCACGGAGACGATTACTACCTTAATGTTGTTCATCGTTAATATTTTACAAGAATGACTTGGTAGGTAGTTATAACAACAAACGTAACACACGTGTTATTTCCAGGTAATATCTACTTTAACGTCGACGATGACCCATCCCATTACATCATATCATATCAAGACAAGTTAAAAATGCGATTCAAAATGCACAAATGTCAAACGTGACAAACATGCGACAAACAAACATGAGTAGAAATGACAAAAACGTGCAATTAAAAAAACAACAAATAATTTGACTAAATGATTATGCAAATTAGTCATTCTACCAACTTGAGTTTTATAGTTGTCCAGGGAAGTTGAAACTTATTGATAGCTACAAGAGTGTGATTTTATTTTCAGTGTTGGTGTCTTGTTTGTCTACAGAGTACATGGAATTGTTTTAAGTGTGTTTTGTATCAATCTGTATTTAACACTTCTGGCATCATGGCTGCTGTAAAAAAACTAATTTATTATATATATATGTGGTCTTTATGTACAAGTTCAAGGCCATTGGCCCATAAAAGTATATACATAAATATTCTTAAATTACAAAAAATCAGCAATATCGCTTCTAAGTTTCAATGTGTGATAAGCATAGGCTGCCAAACGTTTAATTATATTGGTTTCTTGTGAAGTAATAATTCTACGAAATTATGAAAAGATGGAGGGTTGAAATAGTATTTTGGAAGAAACAATTGACGAAATTCAGAATAAAATGGGCATACTAAAAGAAAGTGGTATTCGTTTTCAAATTCGATTTGTATCAAAGACTTTAAAAAGCCGCTGGTCTCTCTCAAGTGTTCCCCTGTCAGTTTCAATGCGCAGGCTAAGCGAGAAGAGCAACGAAAACTTGCTAAGGTTTTTCTGTGGGAGTTTATAGTGACCGAAGTAAGATATTTTTCTCGCTGTAGCGCTGTTTAAATTCGCGATATGTCACGAGTTTCTCAAACGTACATACGTCACTTAGCCAGTTATGCTGCAAGTAACATGTAAATCTAAGAGTAAATGTTTCCATAAATGAGCTTGTATTGTTAACTTCCTGAGTGTACCAAACATTTTGCATATTACAAATAAACAACAAATTCTTTATATCAGTGATCCATGCATGCTTATTTCCAACTCCAGACTTCTATACTGTAAAGCATATCATAACATTTACGAGGATATCTATTATGGGGCATGTTAATTAATTTTGCCCAATATTTTGCACAGCGTTTCGCGGTATATAGAAAAATGGGATACCTCCCACACTCGCCTAATGAACAACTGTTTGGGGATTTTTGTCAGACACCAAGATAATACCTGCAAGCAAGAAACTGGATTAGTTCGAGGCAATCATACTGTCGAAACCCCCAAATTTCAGCACCATATGTTTAAAATTGGGAAAATCTTGGCACCAACAAGTTTTTAAAAATACATCATAATTTAGCGGACCTGTTTTGTCACCTATTTTCATAATGGCAGACATGGCCTTTTTGGTATGTTGTGCTAAAACCTTTGTTGCTGTCGACCATAGAAGTCTACAAGAAAATATAATCCCAAGATATTTATAGTAGGAAACTGCCTCGATTTCTTCACCTTTATAAAACCATTCTTCATTCTTAGACAAGTGACCACCAGCTTTAAAAAACACAACTTTTGTTTTTTTCCCTATTCACTTTCATTTTCCACCTGTCACAGTAACTACTTAATATTTTAAAAGATCTTTGCAACCCGATCACCGTATCTGAAAACATTGCTACACCATCTGCAAATAATAAGCAAAATAGTTCGACAGGGTCGGGGGAGAGCTGTATGCCATGATCATTGCGTTGCTGCAATTCAAAGGACAGTTTATGAAAAAGGAAAATAAAAAAGGGCTTAGCATGCAGCCTTACCGAACGCCTACAGGACAGTCAAAATATTCGGTTTTTCCATTTCGGCCGCGGACTCAAGATTTCACGTTTGAATATATGCTGGACAATATTGTTAAAATTTTCCCGTTTATATCTCCCCCCCCCCCTTAACAGAATATACCACAACCTTTGTCTATCAACAGTGTCAAAAGCCTTCGAAAATTCGACAAACGCACAATAATATTTTCCCCGTTTTCTGGTAATGTATTTTTGGATGATTGACTGCATAATAAAAATGTTATCAAACGTTGAGTAACCTTTCCTAAATCCCGCCTGTGCTTCGTCGATCATTCCAAGTGCTTCTGCCCCAAAATAGTATTTAGTATCGAAGTAAACATTTTACCAAATATACTGAGCAAATGCAATAAAAAGGCTTACGTTTCTCTGTGTATAATCCACGGTGTACCGAGTGGCTTTGTCGTTTGGATACTTCTCGGTCACTGTGATCTTCGTTTCATGTTCTAAGAGATTCTCTAATTGGCCTATGTTGACATAACCCCAGATACCAGCTGTCATTTGCAGCGAAAATATCAAAAATAAACTGATAAAAAACTGCAAAGGAAGTAAATCGTGCAAAAATTATTTATTACTGTTGTAAAAGTTTTTTTTTTATATGAATAACGACAACCGCAAACGCATGCCGTGTGTTTCCTGGAGATCTCGTGCATCGTGAGAGGTCGGGTAACTAGCCAAGCACTCTCACGAGCACACGCGCGCGTTAATTTGGTGAAACCACGGTAAATGAAGAGCTCAAATGGCATGTAGCCTCGTTTTTTTATTCCTAAATAAATTATGCTCTCAAACCTATGCTAGTTTAACTAATGATTGTTGTAAATTAACCCACGTATATAATGTCCGGCGTGTATTTTGATTTGATTTGATTTGTAATACATTTTTTATTATTTTGTTTTTGATTATCAAAACTTCAAAAAAAATAGCAGCCAATAAATATTATATAAAATAAATTAAAATAAAATACAAGAAGCCTGTAGGTTGAGATGCAATGCACGCTTCAATTAAAGATATCATTAACAAATGAAAAAATCTGAGAGAAGTCTACCTGAGGTACCTATATGTATAGTATTAAACCAATAGGACTTGCTGTTTTCAACAAGCAGTAGAAAATATCACTTTTTACCAAAAATTACAAAGATATTCATAAAAATTAGAGAATTGAAGAAATCATAACGAAATGAACAAATCTGAGAGAGGTTTGCCCAAGTATCAAAACAATAAGAATTGTAGTTTACAAAAGAAGTCGAAAAAGTAAAAAGTTGACATGGACGACGGAGGACGGCGGACAATCACTAATATGATAAGCTCGGCTCGACAAAGTCGACAGCGGAGCTAATAGAACAAATAAAAATAACTAATTTTATTCAGAATGGTACATTACTTACACAAACATGAAGTGCCGATGCTAGTTGTTGCGTGAATAAGGGTTCCGAGCCATGCAAACGCTTTCGCCGAACATTTGAAACCTCAATTTATTTTATTTTATATTTCGGCAATTTGTCCGGATACGTTTTTTCCAAGATTTTGACATTGATAAAGCCACCGCGTTTCTCCCTAGACGACAATATGTTACGCTACACTTTCATATATGTTTCGCCATAATTACTTACCAAAATTAGCATGCATTTGTTCTCTTGAATAGCACCACAACATCCACAGAATCCTACCACAGTTACCAGAATGCCGGCAGATATTAAGATGTAAGTACCGTTGTAGTATTGCTGTGCTGTGTTGTATTCCACGGACTGCAACTGGTCTATGTATTTAGTAGTTTCCGCGTCGAAACGGAGCCATAATGCCAATGCCAGAACTGTCAAACCAGCCATCTGTAAAGTACATGGAAAGTAGAGTATGCTCAGATCAGTTCTTTAGCTGGGGTGGGAGGGGCTTGAGACAGGCTCATGTGTCGGGTTTTAGAGTTTGTTTGCTGTCACTGTGTTTAAATGCTAGTTTGTCAATTTATTCACAATTTGCGAAAACATATCATATCCTCGATGTGCCTATGTATGCCATGATGTACTGTCTATTGATAATGTTAGTGTTGCTAGAAACACGTACGAGATAAGATTTTAGTTTTTTTACAGCTTAAATGGACACTTTCGGCCATTTTTGATCAGATGACAACATGCTTGGTTGTGCTGCATATGTATAAAATTTGAATTGAGTTGCTTAAGGCACGTATGCGTATACACGACCGAAGTAGAATTTGGCAAAAACAAAATGGTCGCCAGTCGGTGACAGTGAATCAAATTTACAAATCAATGTGACGAACAGCAACAACCCACAATGGTTATCTAGTTTGAAGAAATTTACGCAACACATGTCAAAATACCGTCACAAAAATACTTTTTTTTAAAAAAAACATTGAGTGTTTTACGGGAACATAAATGCGTCACTAAAGTGTTTAATGATTGAACATTTATTGAACAATGAAACCAACTTTATGCCAGCTGTACTAATAATATTGAAAAGAAATTAAACTATACTAGTAGTCTGGTACTTGAACTGGGAACATCATGTTACATAGGTCATTGACCTAACTAGATGAATACAGAAGGT